AGTTCTGATTGTATGGAATATCTTTTTTCTTCCTTTCACTTTTAACCTGTGTTTCCTTAGATCTAAAGGGAGTCTCTTGTAGGCAACACATAGTTGATCTTGTTTCCTCATCCATTTAGCCAATGTACACATTTGAATTGGGGTGTTTAATAGGCAAGGACTTCCTATTGTCGTTTCCTTTTTTTTTTTTAAAGATTTAATTTAATTTTTATTTTTTTGGCTGCATTGGGTCTTTGTTGCTTCATGCAGGCTTTCTCTAGTTGTGGTGAGTGGGGGCTACTCTTCCTTGTGGTGCGCAGGCTTCTCATTACAGTGGCTTCTCTTGTTGTGGAGTACGGGTTCTAGGCACGTGGGCTTCAGTAGTTGCAGCACATGGGCTCAGTAGTTGTGGCTCATGGGCTCTAGAGAGCAGGCTCCGTAGTTGTGACGCATGGGCTTAGTTGCTCCACAGCATGGGGGATCTTTCTGGACCCATGTCCCCTGCATTGGCAGGTGGATTCTTATCCACTGTGCCACCAGGGAAGCCCCACCATTTTCTTAATTGCTTTCTGTATGTCTTGTGGGTTTTTTCCTATCCCTTTGTTTATTCTTGTCATTTTTAAATGTCTCATTGATTTTTTTTATAGTGACATGTTTTGATTCCCTTCTCCTTCCCCATTATGCATATTCTATGTATTTTCCTTGTGGTTACCATTGCAATTACCTATAACATCTTAAAGTTGTAACAATCTACTTTAACCTGATAAAAAATTAATTTCAATTGCATATAAAAACTCTATTCCTTTACATCTCTGTCCCACCCTTTATGTTGACACACACAAAAGAAGATGACTTCTTTTTATGTTGCATATCCATTAACACAGATCTGTAATTACTTCTCATGCTTTCATGTTTTAAATTCTATACCACATTTAAAAGTGATTGATGCATCTACATTACAATACTGTAGGATTCTATATTTGTCTATAAATTTACCTTTACCAGGGAGTTTTATATTTTCATATGGTTTTGTGTTGCTTATCATTCTTTCACTTCAACTTGAATGGTTTCCATCAGCATTTCTTGTAGGGCAGGACTAGTGGTGATGAACTCCTTCAGATTTTATCTGGGAAAGTCTTTTTCTCCTGTTATTCAAAGACATTTTTGCACAATAGAGTATTCTTGATTGGCAGGCTTTTTTTTTTCCTTCAGCACTTTGAATTCATCATTCCACTCCCTTCTAGCCTGAAAAGTTTCAGCTTAGAAATCTGCTTATAATCTAATAGAAGCTCCTTTGTACAGGACAAGTTGTTTTTCTCTTGCCATTTTCAAGATTCACTCTTTGTCTCTGATTTTTGATAGTTTGATTATAATGTATCTCAGTGAAGGTCTTTACATTTATCTAGTTGGAGTTTTTGAGCCTCCTGAATTTGTATGTGCATTTCTCTCAGATTTGGTGAGTCTGCAGTCATTATTTCTTCAAATAGGCTCTCTGTCCTCTCTTTTTATTCTCCTTCTGGGACTCTCATTATGCTTATGTTATTCTACATGATGGTGTCCCACAAGTCCCTTAGCCTCTCTTCATTTCTCTTCATTCTTTTTTCTTCTTGTTCCTTTGCCTAAGTGATTTTGAAAGTCCTGTATTCGATTTCACTGATTCTTTCTCTCTCTGGTGAAGAATTCAGTTTCAGAATTTGTTTGTGTCCTCTCCATAGTTTCTACCTCTTTGTTAATGTTCTCATTTGTTAATGTATTGCTTTCCTGACTTCATCAGTTATTGATCTGTGCTCTCTTTTAATTCACTGAGCATCCATATGATGGTTATTCTGAATTCTTTGGTAACTCATATATCTCCATTTCTTTAGGGTAGGTATCAAATTTAATTTATTTCTTTCAATGGGTCATGTTTCCCTGTTTCTTTATATGGCTTGTCATCCTCTGTTGGGACTTTAGCATTTGAAAAATCAGCCACCTCTCCAGTTTTTGTGGTCTGGTTTCATACAGGGAGGACTTTCTACAATCAATCCAGCTAGAGATCCTGGAGACCTCTTAAAGCCTTATCTGGAGATGTGACCACTTTGGGCTTGTGCATGTAATCTAGTAATTGAAGAGGTTTGCCAGTTTCTACTCAGGATCTCCCTCTGGCATCTGTCTGCAATACTGTGGCCTCTGTGGTGCAGTAGTAAGCTGTAGTACTGAACTTCCACCTAGCTTCTGTCTGTAGTATGGTGGACTCTGGGGCACATTGATTGCTTTTGTTCTCAGCAGCCCCAAACTGGCCACCCATTCCTGTCAATACTTAGATTCAGGCAAGATAGAAACCAGTCACTCAGGCACTTTCTAGAAAATTTAGATCACTGAACATGTGTTCTACTCCTTTCTCTCCTCAGTGAGAAGATGGGAGTTGAGGGTTTCCTCCCAATCATGTTATATCGGGGGTGGAACACTTGCAAGTGAGTGCCACAACATTTCCCACTAGGCATTGATGCAGTTGGTTTCACACTAACCTTGGGTGCAGGACCCACTTTACTGGTTTCTGGATTTCTCACGAAGACAATTGGCCCATGTATTATTGTTAAGTTTGTGTTTCCATGGGAGAAGGAGGGTATGGAGTTGCATATTCTGCCATCTTCTTAATCTCACTCTTGATTTGAATCCCTTTAAATGAATTTGTATTTATGATATAGATTATGGTCTGTCTTGGAATATTTTATGCAGACCTGAAAAGAAAGTGTATCCTGCTGTTAATAGGTGTTCTATAAATGTCAGTTAGATAAGTTGGTTAATAGAGTTGTGGTTGATAGTGTTGTTCAAGTCTTATATATACTTACTGATTTTCTGTCTGCTTGTTCTATCAATTTTTGAGAGATGAGTGTGAAATCTGACTATAATTTTATATTAATTGTGAATTTCTCTCTGTGGTGCTAGCACATTTTGCTTTATGTATTTTGGAGTTCTGTTATTAGGTACATAAGAAAGGGAATGGTGGAAGATAAATAGATACTGAGATCAGGAGAGGATTAAGCTCAGAACTGCAAATTAAAACAAGATACCCTTTACAATAAAAATCTATCTATCTATCTATCTGACTAATCTTATAGTTTCTGTTTCTCTGGAGAACCCTGACTAATACACATGACATTCTCAGCTACTTGTGTGCATAGTTTTTATTCATTATTTCATTTCCACAACCGATTGGTGGTGGCTGGCACATTGTGGGAGGCTGATGATATTTGTGAACTTGATGGTATTCATGATCTGACATTCTTTTGCTCTCTGTAATGAAAAAGAGGTTCATTTTCTTTATCCTCTCATACTTATCCAACTTATAGGAGGGATAAGGACATAGACAACATCTTTGATAATTAGCTTGAGAAGAGAAGCTCTAATTGGTGCCTTTCATTCCTTGTAGACTGGCAACTGTTAGCATATAGAGAATGAAAAATGTACATGTGAGTGATGGTGGTGGTGGAAGGCGGTTGAGAAAAAATTAGCTCTTTTGGTATGAAAAGTTCAGGAAAAGAACATTAAGGAGTAACCTCAGGTAAGTTGGAGGAAGGACTAAGGAGAAAAGGCATAATGTTTGCACTCACTGAATAAAAACAATGGAAGAAGAAACATGTTACTAAAAGGAAAGAAAACATGGATTTTCTCCTTACCCTGGAGACTTCTGGCATCCAGATAATGAGTTGTAAAAAACTAGGGTTAATGAACCTTTACCTCCCCCAAAAAATAGTATATGCATGTTCTCTAAATTTAACCTATAAATTCATTATTTGACTTTTCTCAGTGTTGTGGTCACTATCCCCCCTTATTTCTTGTTATTCCTTAGCTAGAAAAAGCAACTTTCCCTCCTTTCTTTTACATAAATTTGAGTTGGCCTTAAACCTTTTCACAAATCATTTTTTCTGATTAGGGTACCCTTGCCATCTATTCTGACAAACTATATCACTCCTCTTCTGCCTCATATATTTTTATGGTACTTTTTGTCCATAAATATCTGATTCAGACCTTGACTGAAGTAAAGAAAAATGCATTTCAAATTTCAGACCTTGACTGAAGTAAAGAAAAATGCATTTCAAAGTAAAGAAAAATGCATTGTCCATAAATATCTGATTCAGACTTTGACTGAAGTAAAGAAAAATACATTTCTTTACTGAAGTAAAGAAAAATGCATGAATCTAAAAACAAAAAACCTCTTCAGAGCACTGTGCATTCATTAAAATATAATAACCAAGAGTTTGTGAATATTATAACCTATTTTCTTCCAACTAATTTACATCCAGTTTTTTCATGTTTTCTTTTTTCTTCACTACTCTTTTTACTAAAGTGTAAGTTCCTTTCATTAACTTTAACCAGTAACTTGGGAAACTGTCAACACTTCATATTATGCCTGTTCTTCGGGGATGTGTAAGAAATCATCATTATTGCTTATTATGCAAACCCAGAGAGTCCCTGGCATATAGTATGTGCTCAATAACTATGTAGTGTCTTAAGGAGTTAACGTGACATTCGTAAAAGAAATACTGATCTGTAGTGCAAGAAAACCACATTTGAATTACTATCAGCTATAGTCCTTTCTTGTTTCAACAGGGAGGTACATGAATTGAGGACTTAATTTTTTAATTCTGGAAGGCTCAACATTTTGTCTTAAAGAATCCATATATTGATACACACTAACAAACGTAGTAAGGTAGATAGCTAGGGGGAAGCAGCCGCAAGGCACAGGGATATTAGCTCGGTGCTTTGTGACAGCCTGGAGGGGTGGGATAGGGAGAGTGGGAGGGAGGGAGACGCAAGAGGGAAGACATATGGGAGCATATGTATATGTATAACTGATTCACTTTGTTATAAAGCAGAAACTAACACACCATTGTAAAGCAATTATATCCCAATAAAGATGTTTAAAAAAAAAAGAATCCATATATTGAACGTTAAGTATCCATATCTCTTTCTTAAGTACTTAAATCAAAACTTAACCATCTCCAAGTTTTAGTCTGAAGCATTCTTTGTCTAGGAGCTAGGTATTGCTTTTTGCTCATCCAACTGGAGTCCAACTGCGACCTTTTTCATTCAACCATCCCTTCCCAGCACGGCCCTCTTCTCTCCCTGGGGTCCCATCCCCACTGTCCCTCTCACCCCAAAACACACACAAACAAAACCGGAAACCACAATTCCGCCTGCTCCTGTGGAGACTCGACAACGCTCAAGTTAAGGCCACATGACACGTTTTTAAGCACGCCGTTTCCCTCCTCTAACCACATTAGGTTTTGTCTAGAGAATATTTTACTCTCACAGAATGCGTCCGTCGTCTCAGACCTGACAACCGTAGCGCCCTGCGGAGCAGACGAAGGGAGACTACTAACACCGCCTTCTTACTTCCTGAAACTCCAGCGAAGACTTCCCAAGCTCGCTCAGTTGCCCAGAGGCCCCGCCCCGCCCCACGTCCCTAGTGGTGCGGCACGCGCATGCCCGGTGCGCGCCGCCTGCCTCCGCCCGGCGCCCGCTCCAGCTTCTGCTCCCCTTGGGCCCCCTCGCGCGGCTGGCGGCTGGCTCCCTCCCCGGTCGCGGCCCGTGGGGACGTTCGCAGGCGAGCGCACCTTCCCGCACGGAAGAGCCCCGGCTGGGAGGATCCGAGTGAGCGTCGATTGGTTGACGTGGTGCCTGCGCGTCGGGCCTGAGAAAGTCTGGGCGAGCGCGCAGAGTCGGCTCCTGTGGCGGTGCGGGGCGCATCTCAGGTAAACGGGCAGGGTGGGAGGTTTGGGCGACCGGAGAAAAGGAGTGGGTTGAGGCCAGACCTGGAATTTCCGGCCGTAGCCTCCTTGGAGAAGGGGCCGCGCAGAAACTGCACCCGGTGAAGGTTGGCCCCGTGCGGCCGGGAGTGATGGGGCTCCCTCGAAGGTCAGCATCGTGGGGTCCTCCGGTCTTCTTTCTGGGCATGATTTCGGCATCTTCCCCTGTTTCCTGTTACAAGAGTTCTGCAGCTGAGCATATATTCAAGGGTGTAGGTTTTTGTTTGTTTGCTTTTCCCTTAAGAGGCAGTGAATTGGAGGGTTCAGGTCCTGGCTCAAGCTATGATTGACTCTGCCCTTGAGAGTCACTCATTCGCTTTGTATTTCAGGTCTCACACTTGTAAGTTTTGGCAAAGAATGTGTGCTTCTTTAGGCACGGTGAGCCATGCTGTACAAAGGTACTGTTAGAATTTTGGGGGGTTCACAATGTCTCTGGGCCCACATTTCGCTGACTGGAAGGTGACACCACCCGACAGTCATTTGTGAAGTACTTTAAGCTCCATGGATGAAAGGAACTGGATAAGCACAAGATAACAGCATTATTAGACAGGATGTCGTAGAAAGAAAAAACTTTCCACAAGAACAGGCTTTTTGAAAAGCTCCTTTGAACATTTTATGCAGATTAAATCACAGTGGTAGTAGACAAAGGTGAGCCAAAACAAAGGGCCAAACAAAACAACATTTTAAGGAGGTTTTTCTTTTTTTTTTTTCCTTCCCCAGATAACTTTCACGATAACAAGTTACTGGCTTTTCAAAGTTTCTCCTTGGGATCTAGTGTGGAACTAACCTAAAATGACAGTTACATAAACGTGGGTATCCTGTGCAATAGTATACCAAGAGAATTAATTAAAACAAAGCTCCTTTCTATATAAGGTAACAGGAATTAAGATATCTCATTGGGGAGAGGTAATGATGGCAAATCCGAAAAGTGAAAGAGAGATGTACACAATTTTCCTTCAAAGGCATAGAGTTTGTAGATATGTTTCTAGTGTGTTAATTATTAAAGCATAATAGACACACAGAAAAGTGCATGAATCATAAGTGTACAGCTCATTGAATTTTCACAAAGTGTGCATATCCAAGAAAAAACATTACCTGCATCCTAGAAGCCTCACTTTGTGTCCCCTTTCCAAAGGTAACCATTATCTCAATTTCTGACATCATCAATGAATTTACTTATTATTGACTTTATATAAATAGAATCATACAGTTTATAGTCCTTTGTGTCTCACTTTTGCTCAATATTATATTCATGAGATTTACACAAGTTATGTAGCAGTATTCCATCCATTTTTGGGGTATTACCAGTAGGGCTGCTATGAACATTTTTTGTAAGTACTTTGGTGAACATATGTATACATTTCTGTTGGATGTATACCTACTGGTGAAATGCCTATATTATAGGATATGCAAATATGTATTTCTGGTATACACTACGAAAAAGTTGTTCAAATTAGTTGTCAGTTAACACTCCTGTTATCAGTGTTTGAGAATTTTGGCTCCTGCACATGGTTGAAACATTTAGCATTGTCCTTTTCATTTTACCCATTCTGGTGGGTAGTGATATCACATTGGAGTTTTTCCCTAATTCCCATAATGACTAATGATATTTAACACCTCTTCATATGTCTACGTATTGGCCATTTGGATATCTCCATTGGCAGGGGTTATCAAATTTTCTGTAAAGGGCTGGATAGTTAATATAGGCAGTCTTGCTTTGAAGAGTTTCAGTTAAAGCAGTCCTAGCTAGGACTGCCTGTATTTTAGGCTTTGCAGGCCATATACAGTCTCTGTTGTATTTTCTTTCTTCCTTCTTTCCTTTTTTTTGCCTTCCTGTTTGCTTGCTTCCCTGCCTACCTTCCCTTCTTTCCTCCCTCCCTCCCTCCCTCCCTCCCTCCCTCCCTTTCTGTTTTCTTTAACTTCCTTCCTTCCTTCCTTCATTTCATCCTTTGCTAACCACTACTATGTTGAAAAATAACTGTTCATAAATTACCATTTGATCTTCTGCTCATTGTTGGTGACATCATTAGATGGGGCTATATTGGAAAAGTATAAATACATAATAGTACTAAGTAATGTGTGCTGTAGTGTCTTGGTGTTAAATTTCAAATCTCTAAACATACTTCCTTTGCTTTTTATCAGTTTTACCTTGAGAATAATTAGAGACCTATTTGAGACTTCTCTAAATTGTTCTATTGCTCCTACTATCTCCCATCCCTTTAAAGCTGACAAACAAAAAAGAGGTTAAGAAGCAAGAAAAGAAAGGAAATACAACCCTTCGTTGATTTGCATAAAAGGCTAAGAAAGAGATGAATATGCAGGCAGTTGTCGACACTGAGTAAAAGTATAAAAAAGCATACCTACTTTTTGCAATACTTTGAGTTGGATATTGTCTTTTGAGCGGTTCCATCATGAGATGGCTTGGTTGAAATTTGTATCTGCCCTATTGAGTATGCTCATAATGTAGGAAGTAACAGTCAATGGCTTGGGCCATGAAACTCAACTGTGGCACCCCTGCCCAAGTTGGAGATACTCTCTTCCTTAAATGCCCCATTGGGCTGTCCAGTTCATCTTCTCTTACTTTTGGTCCCCTGCCTTTCACTCAGCACCAAAAGTACCAAAAAAAATTTTGAAAATATGTTAACATTTTTAGCTAACACTTTCTTTTTTTTAGATGGCTTATAGAAGTGAATTTAGGTATATACTTAGATATATGCTAATACTAATGAGAGACTTGGGGCAGCCTCCATCAATGTGATGTTTTCTTTAAGATGGATGATCTTGCTTGATTGTTATGCAGACACAGATTTAAGATAACCACTGGGCCCCAGTTTCCACCACCAGCCCACTAGGGTCCTTAAGCCTTTCTTATATAGAAATTTTGGATCCAGTTGTGCATTGATTTATGTGTGCATATATACACACACATATTTTGACTAATACAAATGCCTTTCTGCTTTATAATTGCCACACACAACAGTTGTACTTATATGCAATGTTTTCACTGCACTATTTGCACCAGTTTGAGTCATTACAAATTATTATGGCTGGTAAAGGGTTTATACTGGTGGAGGGGATTCTCTGACAAGTGAAAACCGCCTCCCACCCCCACCTGATATAGGAGCAAATAGGGTATTTATGTAGTAGAAATGTGTAATGATACTAGATCCTGATTGATGCTTCTGTGTTCATCAGGATATATCTGTCAGTTCAGTTGTTGTCATTAGCTTCCTCGAGTACCTGCTCCCATGGACGTTGCCTTCATTGCGTGCATTGCCATTGTTGACCTCTGGGACTGTCCATATTCCAGGATTCCAGTGGGGACAAACCTTGCCCTTTCTGGTTGCAGTTTCTGTTTTTAGATACTTCATTTAAGTTATACTTAATCTTGTTTACTGTGTTTAATGTGAGACTATATTTCTCTGCTATGATCTATTATCTGTTGCTTTCATACTTTTTTTCCAGCAAATACCCTTATTACTAATATGTCCAGATACCTGGGACTGGGGATGGGCAGAGTATAGTTCAGTTTCATCTCACATGCCACCTACAGAGATAGCTTTAGGGTTTGATGAGAGAAAAAGATATCTTGCACAACATTATCCAATTCTGGCTGCTCTTGTTAGTACTATTATTCTCCCTTCCTTTTGAATTTATTGGATTTTGAGACTGTTATAAAGAAAGGATAGTGTTGTTTTAGGGCATTAATTGCAAAAGGTATACGTTACAGTGCAAAGAGCACTGAGCATAAAAGAATGAGGGTGGTTTACTACCTGTCTGTGTTAACCCTTCCTGCAAGTCAGCTCTCTTTTGTAAAATGAGGCATTTTGACCAAGTATTTCTAATCCTTGGTAATCCTTTCCAAAAGACACAGTAGAGAAATACAGGATTTAGAATTTAAGCAACGCTTGAGGTCGCTTAGGCTGCCCTCTCAGTTTTTTCCAGTGAAAATATTAAGGCCTTAAGAGATTGTGTATAGTCCCATAGTTACTAGAATCTAGTTATAACTTTTTATTCCAGTTGCTTTTTCCATTATGCTGCTTATGATAGGCGGCCTTCTAAGATAACCCTGTATCTGTGTAGTCACAGTCTTGTGTAATCCCTTTCCCTTGACTGCAGACTAGACCTTGTATTAGAATATGGCGAAAGTGGTGGGATATCACTTTTGAGATTAGATTATAAAAGACTATAATTTCCTTTTTTCTGGCGCACTCTTGTTGCTCACTTTGATGAAGCCAGCTGCCATATCATGAGTTGACCTATAGATAGCCTCACCCATCAAGGAATTGAGGGGAGCCTTTGGCCACTAGCCTGTGCAGACCAACAACCCCCTAGGAACTGAATCCTGCCAACAACCACTGACAGAAGTTGGGAGATAGTGTCCGAGTTAAGCTTTGAGATGACTGTCGCCCTAGCTGACACTGTGGCGGCAACCTTGTGAGAGACTCTGAACTGAGAACCTAACTGAGCAACACCCAATTCCTCAGAAACTATGAGATAACAAATGTGCATTGTTTTAAGCTGCTAAGTTTTGGGGTGGTTTATTAGGTAGCAATAGCTAACCAATAAAGTGCTCTTACTAATTTCAGAAAATTTTTAGTAAAAGGAATAATTCTCCTTGAAGTTTTTTATAAACATAGCTTCAATATGTTTTTATCATCTTAAACATATTTGAGGATATTATTTTTACCTTTGTGCAAAGAGAAATATTAACCATTTAACTATTCTATGTTTGTTTTAACTTAATTTCTAGGTATTTGTTTTTCTCAAAAATGGCAACATAAGGAGATGATTACTTTGAAGGTTGCTTTGATTTGGCGTTTCATTAAATTGGGTAATCATGGGACAAACTTACCACAGAACTGGTTTTGGCAATTGGTACGAGCACCTCTGATTCAGATATTGTCTGTATTGAAGGTCTTTTTAATTTAGATTTTATACTGCTT